TGATAATAAATATTCAATAAATATATACTATTCTTATTAAATCAAAATATTATAATTTATTTTAGAGACTTTTACAAGTACTTTTGAATGGTCAATTTATATATTTCTGAAATTCAAATAAAATATTATAGACTCGTCATAATATTTATCTCAATAAAACCAAAATATAACAACATTCGAACCATACGAATACTATATATTTAAATAATATATGAACCATTTTGGTTAGCATAGAAATAGATGTGTGCCATATGCCAATATTATGAGAGAGTGCAGTCTATTCGCTAGCTATAGTAATCTCTTTAGTCAACTTAATTTAATTACTTACTACACTATCGAGTTACGTCTGCATCATATCTTAAGTTTATCATTCATACTTATTTAATAATAACTATAGAAAATTCAAGCAATATATTTAAAGTGACTCAAAAATTATAACATAATTGATTGATTCCCCATACAAACTTACATCCCAATTTTCACCCCCTTAAGGGATGATTTCCGGAATAAAAAGTATCCTATGTCTTTTCCAAAGTCTCAAACTTTATCTCTTTATAATATTAGTACAGGTAGATAGTATAGATTTAGTCTGATTTTAGTTTGACTTAACTGAAAAATCTATAAAACTCTACCCAGCCTTTTTTATGTGACGTTTGAATATTATATATATTCGTAGATGGATATAATATTTGGTAATGACAAAGACAATATGTGCAATAAACTCTAGTTGGGCTGGTTATTTCCCTCATTTAATCTTTATTTAATCTTTCATATTTTATATAGAGCTTACGTTATTATCCGATGGCTATCTTCGGACTTTGGCCTATGGGCTATTTAAAGATCGACCCCGGCTGGTTCGTTTAAGAGCCCCTTGGGATATTTTTTGTTTAAATTAAACAAATTTAAATCTATTTAGGGACTTTTTCCTTTACCTGAGCTCCCACGCAAGTCTCCTGGAATGATGTCACGAACCCAGCCATTTATCCAAATGTAATCAAGTCCGTGAAATCCTGAGAAATATAAATAATAACAATAATTTATTTTTTTAAAACAAGCAAGATTGTGTCAACATAGCAAATATAATAGCCTTTAACCTATGTTACTGTATTAGGAGACCTCGTAGTGAGGGGCTCAGTAGCGTCCGTCAATCCAGCAGGGCACGCAACCAAGAAACGTCCTAGTACTGGGGATACTCCTGGTACCTCCCTGACAGAAGAGTAGACCTTTGGAGTAACTTCATGGTTGTAGTGATGTGCCGGTCTGCCGGGCGTTGTGGTTGGGTGCGTACGCGATCCTGCGGCGCCCCATTAAGACGGGAAACCTCCTCCGTCTTAAAGGGCCGTCTTTTGGGTTTTAGTGGGTATTCTGTAAGTAAATGACGACATGTTTGGCTCAGTTGGTAGTGACCCTACTTGCTGTGCCAGCGGTCGCGGGTTCGAGTCCCGCTGGGGGCATTCATTTGTGTGATGAGCACAAATGTTTGTACTCCAGTCATGGGTGTTAATATTTATAATATGTATGTATTTAAAGTTATATATGTGTAGAGTATCAACTATCTGGTATCCATAACACAAGCCTCGTAGCTTACCATGGTACTAGATGGTGCTGTGTGTTAATGTCTCAACATTTATTATATTATTATTATAAATGTCTATACAAATGATACGAACATATTTTAAAGCAGTAGCGACTCACCCTCGCTTCGCTCGGGTTCGTCTCTAGGGTATACAACTTAACAATTTGAATCGGATATTGAATCAGAATCGGAAATACATATATCTATCTAAATCGGATATATTTTAAATAATCTGCTTTTACGATTATTATTGCAAATATAATTACTATATCAAAGGAATGATTCATATGCTTTCATTTTGGTAGAATTTTCATTTATTGAAATAGAATAATTGTTTTATAATTAATTAATTGGCGTGTATTTACAGTGCTAATTTCATTGAAAATAGCTACTGCCTATGGCTTCACCAACGTTTGTAATTTAATTAAGTCCATACGACACTGAACATATGATACTTTAAAGGGAACGCAAACCATTGTTTTAGACCACCTTTGTACTGAATAAATACTTGTGCTTTTTATTCAGACGACTTCTTCAATTTGCTACATAATCTGAAAATCTTTTTGCGCGACATCGATCAAAAAAGTACGAGATACACAATTCCATGCAAAAGTTCTCATACAACTGTCAATTATTCTAATTGAAATAAATATACAACAATGTAAATTGAACCGAATGCAATGTTTAAAGTTGTTCAAATGTGCGCTCATTCGATGAGGATCGTGTATTTTGTAATTTTCAACCGACTTCAAAAAGGAGGAGGTTCTCAATTCGACTGTATGTTTTTTTTTTATGTTTGTTACCTCAGAATTCCGTCATTTATTAACCGATTTGGACAATTTTTGTGTTGTTTGAAAGGGTATACTTTCAGATTGGTCCCATTTAAATTTCAAAAAAAAATACCACCCTAAAGGTGGAAAAATAGCTAATGATGAATTTAACCTACTTTTAATTGTCATATTAACGTTAAATTTGCAAGTGTTTCTATTTCCGTTGATAGTACAGTGGTTCGGTGTTGTTGACCTGATCAGATGGCAAGGCCAGAAGGTGGATAGGTGGAACTCTTCAACGGCTAATAGTAGATACTTTGAGTTTGGGCTTATTTTGTTTGATTTGACAAGCCTAACACGTTAGAATCCTTACTATGCAACACCATCTGGGGGATCAGGTGGTATGCGTAAATGCATTTCCCGACGATAAAAAAAAAAAAAAGAAAAAGCCCATACAAAGCAAAGCACACCGACTTCGAAAATATTTGATTAGGTATGTATAGTAAATGTAAACTACCAATCAGTTATTTTTTACTTTTTAGTGCTTTTGTTTGAAGTCGGTTTTTATTTTTTTGTTAAAAAGTTTTTATTTGATCGATGTTGCGTGCATACTTATGTACTAAGGGCCTATGCACACGATGATTTTTAACGCGACTTCGACGCGCGTTTTACGAACGGACGTTGCCTGCGCATATGCTGCACTGATAAACTTATAAGGGATAACTTATATGCTCTCAATGTTGTTGTTAAAGCCGACGATACAAATGCGGTGCGTTAAAAAGTCGTCGTGTGTATAAGTCCTAAAATTGTACCGTAACCGTATCTCTTCTGTATACATGACTAGTATGACTGGCCACCGTGGCCGGAATCGGTCAGAAGAAAATTACTCGTATACATACATACATAATTTCTACTTTTGTTAGGGAGAGAGATGGAATTCAAAAAACTAAATACGTGTTTGAATGTATATATATGTTAAAGAAAATTTATATCAAGCTTCACTTACACTGCGATGCTATAATTAAGACTTATCTAGAAGACTATTATTTTCTACTAGCGACTTACCCTCGCTTCGCTCGGGTGCGTCCCTGGCTACCATAATTCTTTTTTTTAAATTAAAAGTAGCCTAAGTTATTTCTTATAACATCAGCTATCTGCCAGCGAAAGTCCCGTCAAAATTAGTCCAGTCGTTTCAGATATTAACTGCCACAAAAAAAAGACAGACAGATAAAAAAAATAATTGTGTTTTTTTTATAAGTACCGTATATAATAATTTCATTTGCATTTAGTAAAAAGCTGTTATTTTCACATTACAAACAAACACTTCAATTTTATGTATCTGTATAGATTTAATAAACTCTGCTGCCTACTTTTACTCCCTCAACGATTGAATTTCAAGAAATCCTTTCTTAGTGTTTATTCAAGTAAAGAAATTTTCAAAGAAAACTGTCTATCGGAACATTCTGTTATAATAAAATATGTATTTACTTCATGTTAAATATTATATAATATATTAATTTAAAAAGTCGGACATGTCTGACGAGGATTCCATTGTGAGCAACATTATTTGGCTTATATTATGTTAACATACTGTTTAAACTAATTCTTTTAAAATTTAGCGATCGTTTATTTCCAGAGAAAAACGCACTAGAACAAACATAAAGTTTTTCCTATAAAACTCAAAAATACTATAATTATTAGTAATATATATATATATATATATATATATATATATATATATATATATATATAGATTTTTAGCGATGTTTTATATAAACTGAAAGTGAAGTCTTTAAGAAAAACCTAAAAATAACCTGCAAATAATTACTTAGACCGTTTTTACGGATTAGGCAAAAAATACTGACCTCAAAAGAATATCGCACTTGATTAAATCTAGATAAGCGGAATAATGAAAGCTAAACAAAAGGTGCGAAAGGACCGGCCTGAAGGGATAAAGTGAATTAAAAATGAAATTTTTAAGGCTTTTTAACTTTACTTTCCAGCCAAGTCAACCTTTGTGTGGAATTGAAATAAAAAATCTTGTGTATCGGATACGGCTATTTGCAAATTATACTTTTATTTTAGTCAAAGTTTTTCTTTTTTAACTAGGTAGGTAAGTGAAAATCTCTTCTTAAAATTCAAAATGGTCAAACAAGACAGAGTTAAAGCTTGATGTCAATACTGATATTGACTTTGTAACTAGAGTTGATGCTAAAACTAACGAACCTAAAAGAAGTAATCCGATAATAATGCGATTTTTGTCACGTTAGAAGAAGGATTAATTTTTAGCACAAGTCAGGAAACTTAAATTGAAGTGTTGCGATTTAGGCTAGGCCTCTAAAAATAATTTTATTTACTTCAATGATCACCTGACTAGCTTTAATAAGAGCCTTTTATTTTCTGGACAAAATATCTAAAAAAAGAATTTTAAACATGTGTGGGTGAAAAATTGTTCAATTATGATTCGGCGTAACGATTCTAATCCAGTGATCCATATTGTAAGCAATAGTGATTTAAAAAAAATGTTTAAGTGTTACATATGTTTTACGGAGGTCCTGGGTTCGAGTCCCGGGTCGGGCCAGGTTTAGTTATTGAGTCTTTCTCTATAGTAAGCCTCAGTAACAGTCCGGAGTTGGGAAGTTGGCGGTGATTCACCCCCGTGCCTCGGAAAGCACGTAAAGCCGTCGGTCCTGCGCCTTAACTCTCACCGGTCGTGTCGAGCAGTCGTCCCACCGGAGTATGAGAGTGACAGGAATAGAGAGTGCACATTGTGTCTGCGCGTACACTTGTGCACTATAATATCTCCTGCGCAGTTGGCTAGTCTCAATAAGATTGGCCGCCGCGCCGTAGCCGGAATCGGTCAGGAGAACATCAGTCATCGTTGAACATTTGGTTGCTTGTATTTGTAACAAAAGAATAACACGTACATACGAATTTGTATTTGTGTTATTAATATTTCGTGTTTAAGCTTTGACATCTCATTTCGTTTAGCTACTCATTTTTACAATATCGGATGCTGCGTTTGCCTAATTATTATTTTTTTTATATTGTGGATGCAGTCTCTTTTATGAATTTATTTATTAATAAATCACGACCCAGTATAGTATGCATGTACAACGAAGATTACAATAAATGTTTAGAAAAGAATATTTTCTGTGAACTTCTGTGAATTCGAATATAGAACAGCTGACAGCGTCTTATAAACTGTCGTTGAATAACGCCGGAAAAGTTATTTTTGTTTAACACTCTTGAGCAAGTGGGCTTGCTACAATCGACATCGCTAATAGAATATTAAGAATATATGGAAATGATATATGCAAATCAGGTGATATAGCGTTGAGGTCGTAAGTACATATAGGGATTGGCCCGAGCAATGCTTTCATGAAAGTGACTACTCTCTAGAAAGAGAGCGACAGTGCTTCCAATTTCTGTTTTTATTCTAACATGAATAAAAAAATGGCGAGGCCTGTGTTATGGATACCAGATAGTTGATACATTACACATACCTGTATAACTTTACATACATATTATAAATAAATGAATGCCCCTAGCGGGACTCGAATCCGCAAGTGGGGTCGCTACAAACTGAGCCAAACGTATCGTCAAAAAAATTATCGAAAACATTTAATATATTATTATTCGAAAAATAAAAATAGACTAGGTTATATGTACATTTAATTTATAATATTTAAATAAATATACCTACACAGTTATATCCATTAAATTACATTTTAAGCACAAAACATTACCAGTTTAGTAAACTATTCGAATAACTACGCCGGATTCTCTTTAAAATTCAACTCAGTCGTGATTTCCGCATTTCACATAGTTTTACTTTATTTATGAACCATGTTAGGGGAAATATATGCTGAACTTTGGCTAAGAGATGTAATAACAGGCAAAAGTTATTTACAATTTGTCAATTTAGTAAATAGCTTTCATTCTTTAATGAAGAAGATAAATAATATATTTTTAATGGCAGATTAATAGAAGGAAACTGCTCATATCAAAAGGTTATATTCAAGGCGGTAATTTTAGTAGATGCTCTATGTTGTTCTTTTATAGCTAACTAGTGACTCATCCTCGATCCGCTCGGGTTCGTCCATAGGTTGTAATGTTTAGTATAGGTTTGTCAGAAATGAGATATTTTCCCGCTTTTATCAGTATCCTATATGTTGACCCGGATAACCAGCTATCATCATACCAAATTTCATCAAAATCTGTCCAGTGGTTTCCTCGTGATGTGTCCCCAGACAGATGGTTTTTTTTTTTAAAAACTATACCTAGATTTGGCCTATGTATCGATAATAATTAATAATGTCTATTTCAATAAGATTTTCCAAAAAAATAATTTAATGTAAAGACTCAGAATTTTATTGTATGTATAGATTTGTCTTATACAGAGGTGAAACCCCATAACTTCACAATGTGGTAACATATCATGCCTATTAATTGATTATATGAAGTTAGTATGATGTGTGTTTTTTAGTCTTCGATCAACAATACTACTAGATACGGGGTCGGTGTAAGAAATCCGTTTCGGTGAATATAATAAATAAATAAATAAATAAGCTCACTTGCAAAGTGAGCGTATATTTCGATTAGTTCTATTGTAACACTGCAAGCGTAAGCACGTTTACAATGCCGCAATGTGTATTTAAAAGTTGCAAAAATAATGCGCGAAGAAGAAATTTTTCGGACGGAGTGCCTTATTTTCGCTAAGCACATTGTGCGCGCCAATCGCAAACACCACCCTCGAAGGTAGTTTCAAGGAAAGTAAGGGTGGTTCACGTGCCCTCGGTACGCAGTTCAACTAAAGGCCACTTTCTCCGATCCCCCGTCGGCAAGAATACTCTAACGCAAAAGAGAAAAGCACTCACCTCTTCTCCCGCGCGTTCCAGGCACCTGGGATTCCTAAGGGTCGGGTGCACCAGTGCTAAAACACTGCTGCAGCGGTAAAAATAATTCAGCGGCCGTACAAAGGCCAAACGCGCACTTATAGCCACACCTTAGCGGTTATTATAAAAGTAGATTACGTCCGTCCATGTCGCGAGCTAATGGTCGAGAGAGAGGGCGCGGTTGATGCGCACGAGTATAGACAACAACAAGGGTCGTGCATTCCCTCGTACGTCATAAGCATTCTGCCGAACGGTAAGAACGGCAAAAATGCCCCAAACACACATGTAGATAAAGTCAATATTTTAAGATTTAAGCAATGAAATAATATAAAAATGAAATTTTGAACAATTTTAAATCCACTAAGAACGTTTGGCGAAATTCAAAGAAGTAAACCGAAAACATAACGATTTTACTCACAAAGCAACAACGGGGAAGAGTACTTTATGTATTTTAATATAAGGTTGATTTTACAATAAATATTATAAAACTTACGAAATGATCGCGTGTGATGATAATTTGAAGATTTGTGACATGTTGACACCGTTTAAGTGCATATTCGCGCGGACAGAATTTAGCTTTGATTTTGTATGTGACACGTTATCTAGTAGTATTGTTCATCGAAGTTTTTAGTGCATTTTATATTTCCCTTACACGAAGTTTCCTTCTAAGTGACAACTTAATTATCAAAGTATTTGAACATAAACATCAATAGGACTAAGGATCGGTAAAGTCCAAGGCAGTACCTCATTTACCAACAATTAAGAACGTTGTATTGAATAACGATTATGCCATCGTGTATATAGACATAATTATATAAATACAATGAGTATGAGGATGCATGCACTGTTATGCTAATACCCGGGTACGCACATCTAAAAGTATTACGTGTGAATCATTTTATTCATGACTAGCATTGCCCGCGGCTCCGCCCGCGTTCAGATGACCAAAAAGCATATTCTTAGGTTTTACATATTAGTATACTCTTAAAATGCAGTTTTTGTATTTTTTCTCAGAAATGAGATATTTTCCCGCGGTAAAAAGTATATGTTGACCCGGATAACCAGCTATCATCATGCCAAATTTCATTAAAATCTGTCTAGTGGTTTTCTCATGATGAGTTAACAGACAGACAAAAATTCTAAAAACTATAGATTTGGACTCTGTATCGATAATAATGTGTATTTCAATAAGATTTTCCAAAAAATATTAAATGTACAGATACGACTTAGTTACAATTTTATTATATGTATAGATTACGGCAGGCTTAATACTGAAAAGAAAAAGATCCTCAGGAAACCTGCATCCTCATCCTGCAACCTGCATCCTGCAACCTCAAAAGGTAAAGTCCGCTAACCCGCACTTGACCAACGTGGACTATGGAATTATCCAGTGGGGAGGAAACACAAAAATAATGTATTTCTCACTTTCTATATTCTTTTGTTTTACATAGGTTTTTATTGTTTTAATTTAAATCTGTAAATACTTAGACTATGGTCTAATCCCTCTAGTATTGAAGGGAGGCCCACGCCTACCAGTGGCACGCTAAAAAGGACCGAATACGATACAAATACTTAAAGGAAGACAAAATATGCTTAAGTTACTTTCAATTACAAAGCGCTAGAAAAAATAAAACATAGCTGCGGTTGAAAATGCTGAGTACGACAAATATTTCGACTTGTATACAATGAACGCGGCCAAGCGTAAGTGAACACGACTGCGGATCGGATGGGGCTGTCAAATGTGTCACAGCGAAAACATTCACTGACATGAACGGTTATTTTTATTTTAACAAATCGCTTTTTTATGTAAAATTTATGATTTTATACAAATACTAGCGACTCACCCTCGCTCTGTTTGAGTTCGTCCGTTACGTTTTAATAGTTAGTATAAACTCAGATATGAGATATATTCCCGCAGTAAAAAGTATCCTTTACGTTTACTTGGATAATCACCTATCATCATACCATATATCATCAACATCTGTCGAGTGGTTTCTTGGTGATGCGCTCCCAGACAAACAGACAGACAAAAATCCTGAAAACTATAGAATCGGCCTCTGTATCGATTATAATGACTATTTCAATAAAATTTTCCAAAAAATATTTACTGTACAGTTTTGAATCAGTTAGAATTTTATTATAATATGTATAAAAAGATATAACAACTAGCGATTTACTTACCAATTGCTCGTACTACTCATAGCTTAACTTCAGGCTCCATGGTCTATTGATATACTAAATTTCATTCACATGTGCCCAGCTAGTTCAGTTTGAAGTAATAAGCATACATATTACATACACTCATACAAACTTTCCTATTTAAAATAGAGGTCCGATATTTTTTGTAATATATTTTTATTATTATTACTATTAAATATATTGGTACCTGGGTGAGCGAGCTTCTTTAGGTGTAGGCGCTGGTTTAGTAGATTATCATTGACATTGGCGACAGTGCAAGTACCACAAAAATATACGAGATTGCGTTTTACGCGCATTATCAGCATGAGAGCAGAGAGAAAAAGACTCTAATATATATTTTTTTAATTTTCTAAGTTATATTTTTTTGTGAATAATTTGCATTCTTTTCAGTCTTTTCTGAAAAAACTTAAAGGGCAAAAGCTTATCTAAATACAATATTATATATATATATACACAAGAATTAGTCATATTTAATTACTAGCGACTCACCCTTGCTTCGTAGTCGCTAGTATACCCGTGCTCGCTAGAATTTAATGAGTTATATCATTACTTATTCGGAAAAGGATACTGTAACAAACAAACCTAGAGATTTAGCATTTCGAGGTAACAGTTAAATACAAGGTTATTAAAAATTAATTCTATAGGGTAAAAAGGGAACTTACCTAAACATTTGTATAGATGACAACCGTACGAATATTATATAAATTCTTTAGTTAAATAAAGCACAGTAGCTCAGTGGTAGCGCGTTCGTTTCGAACACCAAAGAAAATGTATTCAAACTT